CAGCCTTGTCAAGACACCTGTCATGAATCACATGGATAGGAACATGAACAATTTAAGTTTCCAAGGGAAAATTATGATTGCTATAATGAATTTCCTTTCAATTGATTCTTTTTTTTGGGTTTTTGAAATGATGCTATGGTTGGTTTTCAAGGTTATTCTATTTTCAACTTTGAATAAAACTTAACCCAACAGTACTTACTTGAATCTCTGTGTATGAGAAACTCCGGCCTTTTCATACTCATTCAAAAGGCTGGGATGTGCAGGATGAGGCTGACTCCTCTTCTTCCAGGCCAGCAAGACCACCCTCCAGATGACAGTTAAAGGGCTTCCCCGAGGTTTTTTGTATCGATACCATCGTGTCCCACACAGCAAAACAGCCACAGCAATCACCATTGTAGCTGCAGAAATTCCGTATCCCCACCCTCTTCCCACATTGTCCTGTATATATACCAGCACAATGACAGCAAACAAGGAGCCAATGCTGATGCCAAAGTAGAACCTGTTGAAGAAGAATATCATAGCTTTCTCTTCTTTTGGATCTGTTATGTCAAACTGATCAGAACCAAAGCCAGAAACATTAGACTTTATTCCACCGCCTCCTAGTGCTATAGTGTAGAGAGCTACATAAAGCAAGATCAGTTGGTGGCCAGTGGCCTCAATGCATTGATGATGAAGACGTCTGTAGTCATCACATGGAGGCGGCCTCATGCTGGGAATTGTTGTGGCTAGTGTTAATAAGATCACTCCCTGGCACCAAATTGAAAAAACAGAATCATTCCCAAGAATCGAAAGCTTTATTCCTTGCAGATCCAGTTTGAAAAATTTTATACTACCTCAAAAGGCATCATGCTTCTGTGGTGATTTCATTATATTTTTTAGTAATTTGGTTAATATTATGAGCAAATACCATGAACATTTTATATGGGTTATGAGCAATAATTGGTTTGATGTTTTATTTTTCAATTTGGACTTACACCACTTACCATTATTAGCAATTAGGTGATGCATGTGAAACCAAAGGAGCAGACTCTGCAGCATAACAGAACAGAACGGACTATGTATACTCCTTATCGGCTCTAAAGGTCGGCCCAAAAATATTTGGAAGCTAAGGGTGGGTGGTCCAGAGCCATTGGCTCATGTGCCATATAAAACCTGTATTAGGTGCTCAGAAGCACAGTTGGTCACTAAAATTAGTGATGTAATTGGTCTAGTACGCCAGACCAATTATGTCCGTAGGTATACCATAGGAATCACCCACTTTATTAGAAATGGATAAACTGATAAATAACAAGTACAGGGCGAATATGGGTGGTAAAAGAAAAATGTATATACCACATATACCTGCTCCATATTTGTATCCATACCATTTTGTTTGTGGACCATGAAATTTAATTTAATATGTTGCATTACCACTATATAAATGATTATCTTTTTAATCATATTATAAGGATGACAAACATATTATTTAGATATTAATTTAGAGTTTTTCTTACTATTAATTTGGATGTTATTAAATTATATGAGAAACTATCTTTTTGATATTTTTAAATAAAAGAAGTGGAAAAGCACGGTGCCATTATGAACCTAATGAGAATAATAGGATTTGGATAATGAGTATAAGAAATTATTCGAACAGTGAAAAATATGCAATTAAATTTAATTTCAGTTTATGTAATTGCCATCAAACCATCACGACAATTAGTGTACCACAACTCATTTTGAATTCCAGAATTTAAGTGTAGGTGTAAAAAAATTACCCACTAATTTACTACAGATTTGAATGAGAAGAAGATAAAGTTTGAAGAGAGCAGAATAATATATGAACTGAATAAAGAAACTCACCAAAGCTGTAATGCTTGCAGAGATTGTAACAGTAAGAAAGCGGCCAAGTTTGGCATCGGCCAAAAACCCTCCCAAAAGACCAAGAAGATTAAGAGTTCCCATGAAGTTGGTAACAATGGTGGCTGATTTTGCCGATGGGATATGCAGATCTCCCACTAAGTATGTCACTAAATTCATCGAAATCCCCATCACACACACCCTCTCAGACAGCTCAGTTCCTGAAACCCAAAACACAAGCACACACTTTTACTCTTTCCATACACGTATACATACATATATATGTATATATTATGTATATTCATGTGTGGATATATACCTAAGATGAGACCAGCAGCAAGCCATCCACCAGTCTTGAACTTGTCCACCACCGGGTTACCACGAAAATCAACTGCTGTTTCATCAGTTGAGCCATCTTCTCCTCCTTGTCTTGATACTAAAACCTGTTTACAGTTCATGATTTACAGAATATCTTAGAGAAGAATGGCATAAAAACATTAACCCATGAAAAAGTTATAATCTTTTGCAAGAATATGAACTGATACAAATTTGAAGAATGTGCAATACCATGGTTTAGATTATTTTGAGAGGGAGAGACAAGGAGGGAGAGAGAGAATCGGTAGAGCTTATTGTAGGCTCGTGAAATGTGAAGAGGATGGAGAATATATAGGATTTAATTTGCATGATTGGGGCCTCGGATACTTATGTATGAAGCCAATATAATATTATATATATATATATATTTGTGTGTGTGTGTGTATGTATTTGGTAACTAGGCATATATATATATATATGGACTGCTCATCTCCACATATCTTTTATATGGCTGAGGATTTGGCTGAAAGTATTTCCTGAATTTGGACTTTGGAATTATTATCTTGTGGTTTTTGGTGCATTCACTAGGATTTTATGTTAACAAATTTAAATTTATACTTCATTCAATTATAACATTGTGAAAAATTAAAATCTTATTTGATTTATTTCCAAATTTACACTTCTTAAATTATAATATTGGATATTTTTTCCAAAAAATGATAAAAAGTAAATGAATTGTTTTAATTTATATTTCAAATTTGATTCAAAATAATAAAAATTTTAAATTAAATTGTTTCAACTTAACATAACATTCAATATGTATCGTTTTAACAAACTTAATATATTTTTAAACGAATTAAGCGTAAATTTACTAATAAATTTTATATTTGGAATAAATTAAGAGGTATTATCAAATATATTCTAATGATAATTCTTATAGCTTTTCAATTCATTAAGGTTTGATTTACAAATAAATTTTACAAATTTATGAACTTACTCTAAATACAACATTAAAATTTTAAGTTTTTTCAAAAGCAAAAGCAATAAGACTATAAGTTTTTAGTAAATTTAAGTTTCTTACGTAGAAATTCTAATCAAAATATTTTTCTCCTTTTTTATTGGATTCTTCTTCTTTTTTTATATATAAATAATGAAAAAATTAAGAAAATAGCAACCATTAATTATCAAATTAATACACAGTAAATAGAAGTAATTAAAACTCAAATAAGATTAGGAGGGAAACAAAATATGAAAGAAGCTTTTTCTAATTTTGCATTAAATAATTTATTATCCTGTGATATTGATTAGCAACTCTCACCCGTCTGATTATGATATAATACTGATGGGTCTTTTTTATTAATTAATATTTAATATTATTATTGAAACCTAATGTGGGAAAGCAATTTTTTTTCTAAATAAATAAACAAATACTTAATAAAACATAGACAATCAGAATATTGGGTAGGGTCAATTATTTATAAAGTTGTTTATACATATATATGTGTGTGTGTGTGTGTGTGTGTGTGTGTGTGTGATATAGATATAATGCATTTTAGGGATAACTATTGGGAAAGGTGGTGGGCTAATGTAGTTACGTATTCTTTTTAATTACGTTGATTGATTAATTGTGGGCCAACCCGAAACCCAATTTTTAGGGTGGAGATCCGATTTGAGATCGTACCAATCCAACCCAGGGCCACAAGTGTGCGACAAGTGCCCGTGGGGCAGAACCGACCCGGACCCTCACCGTGTATTCTTAGAGAAAGATATTTAATGATACTATGAAAGACCTCTTCAAAAAGTGATCCTGGTAAGATATTTTTCTTTCTCATATTCAAAATATATCATTTTGACTTTCATTAATATTTTGATGGGATTTTGAATTTTAAAAAAAAATTAAATTTTATCGTAATGAATTATAACGTTTATAAAAAAAAAAATAGTTGGTATAATTTTTTAAAAAAAATTGGTAACATTTAATTTAATCTTTTATTGATAAAAAGAAAAAGTGAGGTACAAATAATTTTGAATAACAAAAGGAAAGATGGGAAATGATAGTAAATATTTTTGGCATACGTAACTAGAAAAGCTGAAAAATTGGAATGAGGCGGTGGCGTTGTTATCAGTTGCAGCCGAATGGTCCAGGGTGAATCTGGTTTTAGATGTTTTCTCCAATTTGATTAAACAAACAACCTCCCCACGTGACATGGAGGACCAATTTTAAATGGGTGGCTCCAATTTTCTTTGATCCTATTCTCTTGATAATGAATTTTTGTTCTTACTTACAGTCACAAATAAACTTGTTCGTGAGTCCACAAAATTCGAGTTGCATAGTGTTTTTGTAGTGTCGAGAAATATAATGATGGGGTTGGACAAACATGTTTAGTAATTTGGACAGTACGCCCAGGCCCATAAAAAATGTTTTGGGCTTTCATAAATGTGTTTGCTTATTTCAATACACATTATCTTGTTGATATATTATATTGGTAACCTGCACACTTGGTTTACATAGTTTTTCTTTACCTTCACAAAATTGAAGTTTGAAAGTTTAGTTTTGTCACTTAAATCAAAAAAATAAATATATTTTAAGTTTTACTAATACGAGAAAAATTTTCTCTCGAGTATAAAATTTTATGTAAATTATAATTTTTTAAAAAAATATTATTTTCTAATGGGCTGTGGTTGTGGAGACCAACATCTGACACAAAAAAAAAGTACAAAAATAAAAGCCTTGTCTATTGCTACTCGTATTGGGTGCTGGATCCAGTAGGTCTGGTTTTATCTTTCCATTCTGACCTCCAACACGATCATAATGTTTTATTATTTTAATTTCACAATTTTCAATTCAATTAAAATTTTGATTTTTAACGTTAAATTAATATTGAACTTTACAAATTTTTTCTCATTAAATGCTTTCAAATACCTGGTAAAAAAAAAATTCTTTTATTATAACAAAAATAATTGAAGTAGATGTAAATTATAAGATGTGCGAGACGATAACATCCAACATTTAATTTTATACTTTAGCAACTGCTATAAACATCCAACAAAGCAGAAGTAGAGGTACTAATGGGGCAAGAACATCTTAGTTCACCCCAAGAAAAAAAAAAAAGAATTTATATTTTTTTAAAAGAAAAAAAAAAACCCCCTTTATATCTGAAATTCCTTCTTTGTTCATTTCTTATAAGAAGCAAGAAGACCCTTCTGGTCGTTCTCCAATTGCACGAGTTTTGCAAAAACACCAACCAACGGTGCCGTATTGTATGTGCATGCTTCTGTCTGCATATAATTGTCTCTCTTATCCATGAAATTATCCTGGCAGTCAGGTCCTCCGACCAAAGCCCCGACCAAAACATTCGGGTTCGGATCTGACCGACCGTACCAATTATCATACCCTTGAGTGCACCCAATGAACCCTTTACTCCCTCTGAAGGATACTATGGATGCCCCTCGGTGGTGGACATTTGTCGGGTATTTCGACCCATAACCCACTAAGTAGCTCATGTTCATTGGGTTGGAACCCAGTATATAATCTACTTGAGATTTGGCAAAATTGAGGATCTCTTCTGGGTCAATGGTTCCACCACGGCAGCTCAGCTTTTGATTTGACTTTTGAAGGAAGTCAGAATAGATAGTAAGCAAAAACGTCGCTGTTGAGACGTACTGCATGTTGTTCCATTGGCGAACATATAGAAGGCCTCCCGGTGTGCGCTCCACGTTACTGCCGCTATTTTTGTTGAGGCATGAGCAAATGTAGTGCTCGGCTTTGGATCGGTATTGCTGTAAGATGTGACTGTGTTCTTTGTGCTTTTCTTGCATCAACAACTGCACGGGACATAGAAATTATAACGTTTAAAAATTTTAGGTTACATTTCAGATATATTTGAAATCTTTTGTGTAGTTTATTCGTAAACTAGTAGTCACTTGAGTTAGGAAATAACAAAATCTTCTTAAAAATTATAAAAAGTAAATTTATATAAAATTTTATGTGAAATTAAAATAATATATTATGAATTAAACCAAGTAAATGAAAGGATTAAATTTGAAATCTACAAAAGGCAAGTTATATTATGCTATAATTCCTGGTATATTGATGCATAATCAAGAACATAGTTAATTATGAATGAAATACTAATGGAACACTACATGATTAAGAGGGCATATGCTACAGGATATTCAAAAGCTCAACATTTTAAATCAGAAGACTCACACTATATTTAAAATTAACTTTAGAATCTTATAGAGTTTACTTGAAAATCTATAAGTAGTTACAAAAAAAGGAAACATAGTCAAATTTGGCTTATTACCAAAACGTATATTTTTTTCCAGATCTAGTTCCCGCATGGGAAGGATTTAGGGAACAAGAGAATGACAGTTAGTGGGTTTAAGCTTAAATAATTAAGAAAAGACTTCTTGTTTGGCTCCTAATCCACCAAATTATCAAACACCTCCCGTAAATTAATGAAACGATTACGTCCCTTAACTAAACTTCAGCACGTGGGACCCCTAAGAACGTCAAGCAGGTCCCACAAAAAAAACTTTAAGAGATAGACCAATCAGTTGACCCCTACTACGTGCATGATTAGACAGATACCATAAATACATACGTACATGTATACATATTTATATATAATATAAAGCGCACCTGTACATACGCAAGGACGCTTATATATATAGAAGTTTAAGTTTAATGTTGGTTAAAATAATTCTTTTTCCTCATAAACATAGATAATTTTTTTTTTAATTTAATTATATATGCGTATATTTCAATATCTGGTATAAAGTTAAATCAGAAACTGATGCAGCTCCCGCAGTTGGGGTTCAGGTGATGCTTCCAGTAGAATAAAGCCAGGTGGCAATGGCTTGCGTGTGAGAATTTAAAGAAAAACTGCCATGCAAGGCAACACCTGCACATGGCTTTGTGCCTATTTTTATCTCTTCTTTTTAGCTTTTCCATACCATAGTGATCTGATGTTAGCTTAATTTAAGGATGAATTGTCTTACACTTTTAGTTTTCAATCTAGTTTTATTACACTTTTGATATCTAAATTTATAGAGTTATTTTTAAAATTTTAGTTTCAGTTAAAATTTTTACGAAATACCAACAATTATCCCACTTGAATAACATAAAATAATTAAAAATATAATTAGTCAATTTAAGATTTACGAATTGAACAAATTCAAGAAAATATTTAGTACAGACCTATTGTTATTCCCTTGATACATGTGTAATTTAAATAACATAAATTTATTGTTTTGTAAGTTTATTAAAATTGAATCTTAGTATTATAATTTTATTAATAACTTTAATAAATTTGTGTGATTATAAAACTGAGTTTAAAAAATAAATTATAAATATTAGCATTTTAATTCTTAGATTATAATTGTTTTAAAATATCATATTTAATAAGTTGAAGATCAAAATGATCGTGTTTGTTTTTTTTTTAAAAAAAAAAAAAATAGGCATCATTTCGTCTTTGAATATTGAGAAAAGTAAAATCCTATGAAGATTTAGAGAGTGTAGTCTCCAAACAAAAGCTACTTCAAACTATAGCCCCATGTTCGTCAAAAAGAAATAAAATTTTGGAAAAAAAAAAAAAGAAAAAGAAAAATAAAACAAAGACAAAAATGAATAATTAAAAGGAAAAAAGTTGGGAGGAGGGAATTGGCACATCGAGCACCCCACAGTCTCCTGGTTGGTTACGAAAAATTAAAAGCAGTTTTTTTCATTCTTTTCAAAGAAAATATAATTTCTTTATAGACGACAAATAAGTATTTATTAACTAAAAAAAATAAAAAGAAAAGGTAAAAAAAAGATCTTAACCCTCTTGCCTGCCATATGCATCCTGATTTGATTTGAAATAACTTTCTACCATCTCAACCCAAAATATCTAGATTATGATCTTATTTATTTATTTGTTATAGAATTTAGTATATAGTTTTATTCAAGTAATATTTCTAATCTAAATAACTATGTATACACATATGTTGAACCTAAACTTAGACTATTTTTCTAAATACCTGTAAAAGACGTGATTCTAATTGTTGACCCTGACGCATGCCTCTTTTTAGACGTACGATAAAACTATATACTAAAATTTAATATTTTTTAAAAAAATTAGTTAAAATAAAAGAATTTAATTAAATATATTACCAAGATAAAATATTTCTCATTAAAGGCTTGATCTAAATTAGGGTGGTAATTATTTTTGTCCTATTAAAGGTTTTACCTAAATTTGGGTGAGAGCAGTGTATTAAAAACAAAAATGATGAAAATAAAACGGAGTTACAAATTTTTATTTGAAAAAAGAAATACCTGCGAAGCCATAATTTGAATGCCAGCGTACTTAACGTCCCAGCTGAACTCTGTAATGGCCCATCCAATTCCACCAAAGCAATGCGCCTTGTTAATTACATACTTCAAGTACTCGTCCTTGTCGGTGGCCCTGTACACCCACATCGCTCCCCACAACAACTCATCCATATACCCACTCACCGACGCATAGTACCTCTTCACCACCCTCACACTCTCGTCGTATTTCCCTCTGTACCTATCCCCAAACTCAAACAACTTCAATCCCCCCAAAAAAAATTACTCACATCAGCCACATAATTTTATTACCTGAGTTTTCAAACTTTTGAGATGATTATTACAGGGTGCCGTAATTGTTTATTGTATATATTACCTGTATGGCATGGTGCAATAGCAGTTGAGAGTAATACGGGTTTGTTTTCTTGAACACGATGGATGCTGCCGCCATTGCCGCCGCGGTTTCTCCGGCTAGATCCGACCCCGGATTGTTCTCGTCGATCTTGTAGGCTTGTCGTGAGGTTGTCATGTCCTCCGGCCGTTGCCAGCAGTAATGGTCGGTGTCTCCATCACCAACCTGATAATTAGGCGGCAGAACCGGAGAGTTAATTGCGTTTGGTTAATTGAGTTGTGGATTAATGTTGTACAGAAGCAATGTGATACACAAGAGTGTCAATACTGTGTGCGAGTGTGACAAGCAGGTATACGCAGTCTGTAAGTACATACCTCTGCCCACAACACATGAGGCGCAGTATGCGCCTTGATGAAGTAATCAGTCCCCCATTTAATGGCTTCCAGTGCGTGCTTCAATTCTCCGGCATTGGCGATCTGGTCTCGGTATTCAATTACGCTCCATGAAAGCATTGTCACTGTAAACGCCATCGGAAGACCAAATTTGACATGGTCGCCGGCGTCGTAGTATCCTCCAACCAAGTCCACCTTCATCACCACAAGACCAAAACCAGAAATCCTCAGTCACGAACATGATCAACTGTTATAATTACATAATTAATTGTATCAAGAAGATTTGAACCAAAAGATTTGTATAAATAAAATAACAAACCCCTTGCTCAAGTCCGTCGGTGAGGCCAGAATGGTCGCGCCAGGAGACACGTTGATTGTATGGCAAGCGACCAGAGCGTTGGGATTCAAAATACAAAAGGCTCTTGGTTAGAGCGTCGGCGTAATTGAAACCGTTAGCGCCGGTGATGAAAACAGCTAAGAAGATGTAGAAGAGAAGACACAAGGAATAATGCTCTGCAAATCTGGAGATCTTCCTGTTTACAAAACGGTGTCGGCTAACAGTCAGCTTCTCCTTCCTCTCCTCCTCCATTTTCCAAGTCCCTTCCCTCCTAAACAAGCTTTTAGGAGCGAAGGGAGAAAAAAAAAAAAAGGAAAAGAGAAAGAGAGCAGAGAGGAACAGAGAGTCTGTGATTGAGAATTGCTTTTTGAAATGTGTCAAAGGGAGACGCCAATGTGAGTCACGTGCATGTGAGTTTCACATGAAAATCCGAAGTTCTGCTCTCCCGCTAATTTTTCTTTTCTGCTAAAATGTGGAAAAACCGGCGCGAGAGTGGAGTCGCTCGGATTTGGCATGAGAGCGTTGCTCAGTCTTGAGGACTTCCATTGTTGTCTTTTATATATATTTTTGGTGCAGTCGGTGGATCGATTAATTGAGCGAGCGAGTGGCCCAAATGCCGACGATTTTTATAATTTATCAAAACTTGTTGGTGATACTGTGTCGTTTTGAGTTATTGTAGCTTTAGAATTTTCTCTTGGAGGAAGAGAATGACAACTCGTCTGCATAAATGCTCCCACATATAAGTAGTGATTTGATGGGGAATAAAAAATAGTAGTAAGTTTCTAAATCGTTTGTAATGTTTTTTACAACTCTAGATATTTTGTGTTTATTTATTTCTTTAGTGCACTCATATCTTACTATATATTTTCTTTGAATGTTATATTTTACTACATCTTATTATTTATATTTATTATTTTGTATGTTGCTCTAGCTATATATTTTTTTTATTATTTATTTATTTCATTTATTACTGTTATTCTCTTTTTTTTAGTACTCTATTTATATTCAATGACTGTTTATTATCTCTTTTACTAGTAAGCAATGACCTCATCTTCTTTTTCGGCTCTTTCAATCATAATCAGTGTCCAATCCTCTTACTTCTTATCTATTATTTTTTAATTGTTATATTTGTTTTATGTGACGCTCTTAATTCTTAAATATTTGGATTTTAATTATTTATCTCTTGTTTTTAACTACTACATAATCAGTGACAAGTAGAATACAATAATAATACGAGAGAAAATAACTAAATATTATATGAATATAAATATAAATAATAAATAAAATAGTTAAATAATAAAAATATAACAAAAATGAAGTATACGCACTAAATAACACATATTTTACTATACTAACTATATATAATTTGGAGATTTAAACCATATCCATGGTGCACTGAGTAGGGTAATAGTTTTTACTATCTATATATTGCTTTAAAATCTAAAATTATTTAGACATAACAGTGATTTATTTATAGTATATTATGTAGTGTCACTTAATCGATAATTGACAAATACTGTTCAAGTAAATATAAATAATAAATAATAAATAATAAATATACGCACTAAACAATATCTATTTTACTATACTAATTATATATAAAATGAGAATTTAAACTACATCTAATATGGTGCACTAAGTAGTGTAAAAGGTCTTACCATCTATATATTGCTTTGAAATCTAAAATTATTTAGACATAACATTGATTTATTTATAATATATTATGCAGTATCACTTAATCAATAATTGACAGATACTTATCACGTAATATTATAGTTTATAGATTTTTTATTTTAATTTTTTATTCAAAAAAAAATTTATAATATGCACTATAAAACAATAACTGACATATGATTAAAAAAATAAAATATAAAAAATATGTAAGACTTAAAAATTTAACTATGATTTATAACTGCCCCCTCTTTTAAACGGGCGCCTCATCCACCTCCCTCGTACAATTTATTTGCCTTTCATATCTATGGTCTCATTTTCTAATCTCTTTGCCTTATATATATAACTCCAGTTTCTCGTCTCACTCTCTAATCTCTCGGTTCTCTTTGCCCTATATATGGCTTCGCTGCTCTAGCTCCATCACTTTTAACTTACTAGCAACCTCCTACACACTTATGCCTTCTGCATGCAACTTAGTATTATAACTTCAGTTATGTGAGGTCTTTTATGTTTGTAGTCCCTTATCCTTTGGGCTTCAACACTCATTGCCACAATTGATAGGAAAATTAAAAAAAAAAAAAAATGGATTTACGGTTTCAAACACTTTATAATTAAATTTTATAGTCAAACAAAAAGAAAAAAAAACAATTATTCAACATTCTAAACAAAAAAAATTGTTTCACACAATATCAAATTAAATACAATATGGTATTCACTGTGAATTTTTCGATATCACTCTATTTCAATCTGATTTGATTTTAGACAATTCCAAACCCCAAATTCTAGTGTTGATAACAAATTTACCATCATGATGCACTACCAAAAGTATATTTACTCCATTATATTATATAATCAATAAATGTACAAGATCATTTAAGTAATTAAAAAATATATGAAATTGGTTAAAATAACAAAAAATGACTACAAACATATATGATTGTTATTCACAATTTTTTGACTCTATATTGCAACTAGATAGTTGCGATTTATTGCCAATATGATATAAATCGCAATTATCTAGCTGAGATCAATGGCCAGACATTTACAATCTTATTTTCATGTTGAATATTTTTCTTTAAATTAATTTCTTAAAAATATTATTATTTTATTTTAATTATGTTAATTAGAATATTACAAGTATAAAAATTATTCCAAACATAAATTAAAATTTTACTCAATCTATCACAACCTTTATCCTTACTCTCAATCTTACCTTTATCGTTATTTGTAGCCTAACTTAATATGATACGATCTTACTAGTTTTTTACGATAATAAATTATATTAAATAATTAACATAAGATGATCTAGCAGAATAATATTATTAATATGTTAATAAAAATATGATACCCACTAACATCTATTTGTTACACAAAATATTTAACACTTACAACGTTTTGTTTTGTTCAAACATATTTTACTTCAATTCAATTGAAATGTTTTAATTATTTGAATCAAGAAATTAAATATATTTGATGCATAATTAAACTAATTATACTCTGTATTATAAACTTTATAATTATAAATTTATAGTATTGCTTTTGATCTCAAAATTTTAAAAGAATATCTAGCTTAAATTTAAATTATAATGGTTGGTTAGAAAACTTTTTCAAATTAACCAGATATAATAAATCTAAACACGTAACTTTGTACCAAATTAACAAAAAATGATAAATAAAAATGTACTTAAATCAATCGTAAAATATTCGATTACGTTATGCAGTAAATATTTTCGAATCGACACTTGACCTTAAAAGCTGTTTTTGTCTTGTGATGAAATTTTAGAAAAATAAAATAGTGTGCATATGATTCGGATACTATAATCATCTATTATATCGACGTAACTTTGTATTTTTTATTTTACTCATTATAAAACGATAAATTATACAAATGATATCCACACATATTAATTTCATACATAAATATGATGTATTAAAATCAAATTTTATTTTAATCGTATTTGATCACTTTTAAACGGACTCATAAATCGATAGTCTGCTATGCATAATAAAATATATATTAAGCCTAAACATTATTATTTTTTTATTATTTTATCATATGTATATTTTATATTCTTAATATTTTTTAAACTTAAAATTAAAATCAAACACTATTTTATTTGAAGTCTTATTATAAATAAATAAATAAATAATGCAACGAACATCCTCCTAATTTGCGTTCTATTTGAAAACTACCTTTGGCTACCGAAATAAATTCCACCAAATGTCTCTCTTAATTTGGGTAATGCTTCATCACTTTGAAAAGGACACAATAATATAATTGATTCAAAATGAAAATTATATCGAGGTTATAATTTAATGAACCAATCATGGTAAAATAAATACATCACACCATTATTTAGTCAATCCAATAATAAATTATTAAATATTTACAAATTATGAAAATATTTTTATAATACTAAAGGCTAAATTGAATATAATTATAACAATAGTATTATACGAACAATATAAAAAATATATTATATAGAGTTAAATATTACATTCAATATAAAAAAATTTAGAATAAATAATAAAAGATACCAATAAAATTTATGTTTTAATATTTTTTTTTTAATTTTAAAATGAATCAACGTTTGCAAATTTTTGTAAAAATAATAAATAAATACATATAGTTAAATATATTTTAATTTATAGAAAGGTGTTATAAAAATACTCATTTTGAGAATTAAATGACGATTTTTAATAATTATAACGTTTATTTAATTATTTTTTTACAAATTCACGTATTTTAGTTAGAATGTTGTGAGAATTGAATTTATAAATAATAAAAATTAAATTTATACATAATTAAAATAATACGTTATAAATTATATTATTTTTGATTGAATTTATACTATATTATTCTAATGTCATGTGAAATTATCTTTACATATACGGATATTTTATTTTGTCATTGTGATATAATTTTTACGGTTTTTTTTTTTTTAAATTATGTGAAATTCCACATTATCTTTTAAATTGTTTCAAATAGTGTCTTACTATTTTAATTTGAAGTTTAATTTTAGTATATTTTATGTCTTAATTTAAAAAAATGTATTTGACTAGGTTGTTGACTTTTACCTATTTAATTTTTCATTAAAACAAAGTGTTCAAAACAAATGTGACAATTTACTTTGGACACAATCTTCAAGACATTTGAATATGTAAATTTGAGTTGTGGGTTGTATGTTTTTATTATAATTAAGATATATTATTATTTGTACGTAGATAAGATATCATATAATTAATAAAATATATAAATTTATATAAAAAGAATTGTATTATAATGTTAAAGCTATGATTATATGTAATTTCAAATGAATTAATTAAAAACGTGATAATTACTCTGAACTTTTATTTGAAAAGAAATACCATCCTTGAAGTAAACATTTTAATGCTGTGCGTTGAAAAAGCATGATTTTCGTTTGTATCATCTACGCCTTGATTTGTTGCAAACTCTGAGGAATTAAAAATCAAAATTCGTAATTTATCCAAACCAAATCAAACTTCGAAATTTCTTCTTTCTTTTTTTTTTTTTTTTTTTGTTTTGAATTGAAACTTCAAAGCCTGAACTTTCGTGGCACAGGGATCTCGATGCTACCTACACGTGTACGCAGATAACACTACAGCCCACGAGCTTAATTCCTTCTCCTCCATTTGCGGTTACCGGTCTTTGAAAGTGAGACCTGTTTCGCCGGTCAGTTTTAAGCACCGACTTTTGGCGGTGGACCTGCCCTGCTCCCTGGCCGACATCCTTGGTAAGTAAATATTTGAAAAAAAACACACACACATTTAAGTTAAAAGAGATTTTCAGAATTCAAAAAACTCAAAAAATAAATAATGTTATTTACCCGAATGATTCTTTCGGTAACTATACATTTCAAATTTAAATTAATATTTTTGTAAAAAATATGAAAATTATAACATAAAATTAAAAATGTTTTGGTTATATGTAAGGACTAGAAAGTGGAAAGACTAGAAAGAAAAAAAAATATAATAATTAAATAAATTTCCATAAGGTAGGAAACGACGTCGTTTTGGAGAGGGGAAAAACGACGTCGTTTTCGAAAGAAAGAGAAACGACGTCGTTTTGGGATGTAGGAAAACGACGTCGTTTTGGGGTAGGCTGGCAGAGTATAAAGGGAGGTCGGGAAAGGGAGAAGAAAAAGGGAGAAAAGAAAAAAAGGAAAGAAAAGGAAAAAGAGAAAAAGAGAAAAGGAGGGAAAGAGGGCAGCGGAGACGAAGAAGAAGAGGAAAGTTCCAGAAGGAGAGAGGAGAGAGTCGGGGCGGAGGGGAGCGAGAAGAGAGAGGGAAGGAGGCCGTGGACGGACGACGCGACCGGCAGGAAGAAGGAAGATGGAAACGGGAGGTATGGTGAAAATTTGAGCTGTTTGGTGTGGTGTGTGTGTGTAGAGAATTTTGTTGCAGGTTGCGGCGTCGGCAATGGCACGACGGAGTGGAGCAGTGAAGGTAGGCCGTAAGCGTGGGGTTGTCCCGCGCGCTCACGGAGGTGATCGGGGGAGGAATTGAAGGTGTGGCGGTGTTGGAGGCGTGTGGGGAGCCGTGGGGAAGGATGGGGGTGGTGCGGGTAGAACAGAGTGAGGAGGATGTGAGAGGACAATCTAGGGGGCGCGGGTGGGATAAAAACTTGAGAGGACAGAAGAGGTGTGTGCGTGGTGTGTGCGTGGGTGGGGATGTGGAGGGAGCCGCTAATAGGCGGCGATGTGTTTCCCCGAAATGCACGGTGGTGAGGGCGTGTGTATGGCGTGAGACGGTGCAAGCTGAGAGGTTAATCGCCCTAGGTAGGCAAAAGTGTATAGGAAACGGGAGGAGGCAGGAGGATGGGGGAGGTGGCGGGTAGGGGGCAGTAGGAGAGGGAAGGGGGCTGGAAGGTACGGCAGAGGGGACTAGGAAACAGGATTTGAGGGGGATTGGATGAGAGAAGAGGAGTAATGTGGTCAGTAGGAGTTAGCAAGTTAAAGCGCTTGGGACTAGCATGGTATAAGGGGAGATGGGAGCATGCGGTTTGGGATAGGAGATTTGGAGGCCGTTGGTGGGGGCGGTTTGAGTCGCCGATGTTGGTGGAGCGGGGAGGGGATATGTGTGTGGGTGTGGCCTAGCAAGGTCGAGAGGGGTAGGAGGGTGTATGAGTCACGGATGGTAGTGACGGGAGGTGGAAATGTTTGTGTGTGTGCGTGGCCCAACGAGGTCGAGAGTTGGAGGAGTGAGTATAAGTCGCCGATGTTGGTGACACGAGATGATGGTATTCGTGTGTGTGTGTGGCCTCTTTAGGTCGAGAGTTGGAGGAGTGAGTATAAGTCGCCGATGTTGGTGACGCGAGATGATGGTATTCGTGTGTGTGTGTGGCCTCTTTAGGTCGAGAGTTGGAGGAGTGAGTATAAGTCGCCAATGTTGGTGACGCGAGATGATGGTATTCGTGTGTGTGTGTGGCCTCTTTAGGTCGAGAGGTGGAGGAGTGAGTATGAGTCGCCGATGTTGGTGACGCGGAATAATGGTGTTTGTGTGTGTGCGTGGCCTATTAGGTCGAGAGGTGGAGATATGGATATGAGTCGCCGATATTGGTGACGTGGAATGAAGGTGATTGTGTGTGTGTGTGTGTGGCCTCGTGAGGTCGGGAGATGGGGGAAGAGTGTATGAGTCGCCGATGTTGGTGACGGGAGTTAATGGATGATTGTTGGGTGGGTGTGGTTGTTTGGCCGTGCTATTTCCTTGGAATAGGACCTTGATGATTAGTGTAGGGAGGGGGTTATGAGTTGTTTGGGGTTGGGTAGGATAAATGCATATAGACATTTCTGGAAATTCTTGTCACTGCATATTGCACTTACAACTTGATTTTTATTGTATTGAGTTATGTGAACTCACTTCTCATCATTCACAGGTGGAGTAAGAACGGAATTGGGATCCGAGCGGCTGGTAACGGAGCCCCGTCGGTAGTGCCATAGGGCACAAGTTTTGTTTGTGATTTAAAGTAGTTTGAAAGGATGGTTTAGTCTGGATATTGAATATCTAGGAATGTTTGATATTGTATTACTATGTGTTGTAGAGGTGGAGATGTATGTACAATTGATTTGGAACAAAGAAGGTGGACAAGTTTCTCTTGTGCATGGTTGGAATAATATAGATTTCGCTATTGTGTTATATGAGTGCTTTATCGTATACCGTTAAGAAAAAAAAAAACGGGGTGTTACATTATATTTGTGAAATTTGTCACATTATAGTAAATACCTGTCTAATTCTAGTATAATATGAATAAATTTTATTTTTATCAAGTATAAAAATCACAACGGTTATTTATTATAAAAATTAAAACTTGGGGTTATGTTTTATATAAAAAATAAAGTCAATATTTAAATTAACATATTTTTTTAGATAAATTAATTAATAATATAACAAAAAACGTGAAAACACAAATATTTGAAATATGATAGCGGACCGCAAATTTTTAAATTTCACGCTCGGTACAACGAACGCTTCTGAGGTCGCGCGACCCACATGATTCTTTTCAGAATTATTAGGCTTTTTAATTTTTTGAAAACCAAAGTTATTATATTAATTTTAATATTTTAAATAATTAAAACAATACTTTAAAATCAATAATTTAATAATTAATTAAGCAAATTACAATTTATCTCCTTAAGTATTTGCTTCATTATAAACAAGCATGAACCTGCGGGCACCTTATCTTCTCCGGGGAACCGAACTCTGGTCCCGAACATATCAGCCGTACAACAACAAAGTAAGTGGGCTCCGCTCTATCCAACCAAATTTCAAAGCATTGTCATCTTAAAATCTTCCGTCGTCAAACTATCTGCCACGTGTATTCCCGCCCAAATCGCTTACAAACTCCCCTACTCCTTGCCCGCAGCTTACACATCCTTCAGTTGTTCGTTATTTAATAATCTCAAATCCGACGGCCCAGAGCCGCCAATCAGTTTTTTAATAATTCTCGCGGGTCCCACATTTAACAGCGTCGGGAATCCACGTGGACGGAAACGTTACATGTCTCAATCAGGAGAGCACGTGCTAGACACGTGAATACATTTGTCTCGATTTCGGATCGGGAATCCCCCTTGGCCCGGCGATTCTCTCTCTCTCTCTCTCTCTCTCCTCGTGCGCCTTTACCTTTTATCTGACTTCCGCTGACGCCTGGAAACTTCTGATCCGATGTGGGTGGCTACAGCAGTTCCTCGACTGGTTTCTCCGCATTCGACCTCGACGTCTCAGATACTTTCGGACCCGAAATGGATCGTCCGTTCTCTCGGGAAAACGCTTCGTTTCGATGTTCGGTATCGGCCGAGGAGGTTCAAAGTTTCGGGAGCAAAGAAGGAACTCCCCGAGACCGAGTTTCAGAGAGAGGAACCAGGTCCTCTTTGCTCTTCTTGTTTCGTGAAAGTTAATAATGGTCTCAATTAGATACCTGTTTGTTTCTGTAAGGTGCTTAAACATCTTATGGTGCCAAGTTTAATTCAGTTGCAGAGAGCGAGCCGTCGTCCTTACTAGAAAAGAGTAGTGAAGGCGTTGATTTGGGATGGTTGCGCGCCTTTCCTCACGTGGCTATCGCTTCGATGGCAAATTTTCTTTTCGGTTATCACATTGGGTGAGGCTCTCTTTATCTTGCTCTCTTCAGTTCATGCTGTTCTCACCTAGCGGCTATTGGTGAGTCCAATAGCACATGCGCATTTCAGTTTTGATTAAATTGCTAGTGCAACTAAATGGTAATTTAGGGTTCATTTTTCATTGTTTTGTTGCTTATTAAGCACTGTCATTATGCTTTTGAAGATTCGTTTCACTATGTATGGCAATATTAAATAACTTCGAAAGGATAAAATTTGCTTTAACCGTCCCCACAGATGAAGAAATTAATACAATCGTCACAAAAAAATATTTAGAATGATAGGGATTTGGTTGTTTCTTAGGCGTTGAATGTCCAAATTAATGCAAAAGCGTAGTGTATTGTGCCATTACTGTAGAGCTATATGTGGAAAAAGAAAAGCTCTTACAGTGTAAAGTCCTCCTCTCTAATAGAACAGTGCGGAAATGCTCTGTAATTAATATAAAAGGAAATATTAGTTTCATGGAATTTTTTGTTCTCAAGTCAACATTCTCAAGGTTAAGCATATAAAACTCTATTTTGTTAATAAGAATCATCCAAAACAATAGCAAGATTTGTTCTATTTTATAGTTATGGATTTGTGCAATCTTGAACGGAAAAAAAAAAATCATGAGATCTTCTAACTTACTCAAATTGATTAATTCAACTTTTGGCTTTTCCTTACTTGGGAGCTTGTTGTGTGTCGGTTGTCACGAGGACACTTGTAAATTGATATGGTCTTAACATGCTTCATTCCATCTCTATTGCATCCTTGGGTTTGAAGGTGTTGTCCTTCCTTAATACCAAACCTTTTCTTTTTTATATTATTTATGTGGCTGTTAACTTGTGAATTCCTGATCCTTCGCGTATTTGCATGTGTTTTGCTGTGTTGAAGCACTTAACCTTCATGGATATTTTGTAACCGTACACTTAACATTCCCTTGCTTTTTGTTACCCTTCTCCTCTATTGAATATAAAGTATCCTCTTATGTTGAAAGAGCACAGGACTTCCAATTGCTGCATTTTTGTCTCTCTCTTATCAGTTGAAAATTCCTCTTCAATTATCTTTTGAATGATATTGAATTTCATCAAATTGTCCCTTATTTCTTGAAATTGTCATCTTGCCTGAATCACAATAGCCTTCACTCTAATTGGGTTATTGTAGGTTGATAAAATATGTGGAGATCAAGACCTCAAATATTTTTGTGAAAGAGATTTATCATTTCTGTATTTCACTTTCAGAGATTGTCAATGGTTGAAAGATCTCGATGTAATTGGGATTGAGGAGCCTATGAGCTTTTGTGCTTAAGGAAACCCTAAGCGGCTAAATTTTCTCTTATATGAGTCACATTACAAATTACTTTCATCAGCAATTTTATATTTTCAGTATGGTGTATATTTCAAATAAAAAACAACATGGAGCTAGAAAAAGAGCTCGTGGTTGGGGAAGCTTTAATACCAACCAAAAGAATCCAGGATTGCTCTTGTGTTGCCCTTAGATGGGCTTTTATGTAACAGGTTTAATCTTTTTACGATTATCAGAAAAAAAATAATCCAGCAGTTTCTATTGTAATAAGATTGAAGAAAGAAAGGAATTAAGAGATTATAAAAGGAGATGAGTTATTTGACCTTTTAAAGGTGTTCTGTTTCCAAATAATGAATTTGCTCTGATTAGTTATTGCTTTTTTTGACCTTTTGCAGTTCTTTTTCAACTGTTGCATTTTGATGTTTTGCAGAGTAATGAATGGCCCTATTGTCTCAATTGCACGAGAACTTGGTTTTGAGGGAAACTCAATACTTGAGGGACTTGTGGTCAGCATATTTATTGCTGGTGCTTTTATTGGAAGTATAAGCGCTGGTTCATTTGTGGACAAACTCGGTTGCCGGCGTGTCTTTCAAATTGATATGGTACCATTAATTCTTGGTGCACTTTTAAGGTAATTTCGTTTGTTGTAACTCCCTGAAAAATAAGAACATTCATTCGTGCAATATAAACAGGAGTCATTAGTGCTCTTATTAGAAGTGAGATTAGGCGCTCAAATTTGACACAATCTAAATATCCAAAATAATAATAAGATAGGAAGACCGTGAGACACATGATGCAGACTAATTAATCAAAGTCTGCATTCATTTATTTGTGTCCTTGTTATGGTGAAATGTGTGAAAGTGGCATTCTTAATTAAATAAAATTCATTATATTAAATTATTTACAAACCATATTTGGGGAGGCTGGAAGCGAATATATGAAAAATTAGAAAATATACTAAAAGAAAAAGATAAAATAAAAACAATCTCCTCGTTCTTCTTCAAAGTGACTTCCTCTTAGTTTGATGGTTGGGTTCCATAATCATCTCTTCAATATTGTGAACCCATGCAAGCCATTCATAAACAAATAAACAGTAAAGGTTGGCTACTTTACTGATTCAATAAGCTCAGGAGAGTGCATCATAGTATAGTCAATTAACATCACCATGGCAAATACTAATTTAGGTTGGTGATTTAATTAGGAACATAGAAAAGGGTTACTGTAAATGAGGACAAAATATTGAAATTTGTGTATATTCCTGCACAAGGTGACTTACATTCATTGCCTTGGTTTTTCTTTGATATATAACCAAGTAAGTGTGGGCCAACCTAAATCATTAATCACTAACTTAAACAATTAATGTAGCTTTGCACAATGCTCCATACAACAGGCAACCGGCATTCACAATGCATTTCCTCAAAAACAAGCAAGTCAACACTTTGTCACTTCTTTCCTCAATCTATCTTTCTTGTTGCACAAGATGACTTACATTCACTGCCTTGGTTTCCATTTGATGTATAACCAAGTACAGGCTGACATAAATCATCAATCAGTAACTTAAACAATTCATGTAGCTTTGCTGAATGCTTCATACAACAGGCAATCGCCATACATAATCCATTTCATCAACAACAAGCTCTGCATTGTGTCTTATCTTCCTCGAGGCAAAACTTCCATTACTTCTTTCCTCAATCCTTCCTTTTTGCTGCCAATTTCTTCTCCTCGATCATATCTCGCCTCAGTTCAAGCCTCCTGCTTCAAAAGTCTCCTGCCAAATGCCTTTGCAGAACTTGCTTCCGCCTCTGCTTCTTCCTATCGTGCCCAGTGTCAGTTTCCATTTTCAGCTTCTTTTATCTCTCTCTTTTCCCACTGTCTCTGTCCACATGTATGCTATCCATCCTTTGATTTTTCGGCTTCCCAAAACTCACATGCAAAAACCAAAGTAAGCTTCCATTCCATCACTCAGCACAAGTGAAACTCAAAAAAGCCAAAATGACATTGTTTGGGTTCCAGAAGGGATGAGCTGGATTTAGGCCTTCAGCCTGGTCTGATTGTCCATGAAAATGGCTGTTAGTGTTTTGGTGTACTGGTTGGTCCTTGGGCTGATGAAAAAGACTTTAAGGTGGGTTGAGATGGATTAGGGTAGGGATGATGATCTAATGGTAATGGGCTATTAATGATTGAAAGTGGATTAAATGAATTGGGTTGTATAATGAATTCTATAAATATATAAATATATAAGTATATAAATATATAAATGTACGAATATATAAATAATAATTTGAGTTAGAGCAAAAGTTTTACGGACAAGATTAGGGTGTTACAACGTTAGTATTGTACTATGGAATGAATTTTGGTTTAATGCTGGTTTAATTGATTCAAATTGGTGGAATCTGGTGCAGATTATTGATACAAACTTAATTAACCTCGTTGGAATAATTTTTTTATTGTGTTTGTTATTTCATCTCTTATTTCTGGCCATATATCTCTTGGCAATATGTTTTCAGCTCTCATCATATGCAAGCTTAGTACTGTAAGAAATTTGTATATATTTATTGTTCAGAATTGAAAATTGCCCTCCTTTACATGCTTATGGGACAACTTCCATTTTTTTTTTCTATAATGGTGGAAAGGGACCCACATTTTATCCCTCGGTGCAGATTACTTGTTTAGCCAAGTTAACCAATAAATAATTCATGTTAGGTAAGCCCAGGACTTGAATAGGCTTGCCTTGACTGATCAGCTTGTTGTGTGAGCTGATGTATCAACATCAGTTAATACCAAATTTCAGGTTTTAAGTGTTTTTGTTTGTTGTCTTAATTTCTCCGAACAAAGTTTTCATTTTTCATTTTTTAATTCTATTTCATGTTGATATTGGATTAACTACAGTAATGTTATTATCTTCTTTCATTATAAGATTCTTTTAGTGAATTTTTATATTATCTGAACTGTTTTACTTCTAATGTTACTATTCTTGTCACTGTTATTGTTACTTTTTGTTTTTACAGAACAATCATAGTATTTTTTTTAACTGTTACTGTTCTCACTAGCTTATTTATTATTTTACCATGTTTTATGAAATTAAATCAAATATTATCTTCTTTTCACTGTAAGATTCTTTTAGTGAATCTTTATATTATCTGAGCTGTTTTGCTTCTAATATTACTACTTCTCGTTACTGTTATTGCTATTTTTTGTTTTTACAAAACAATCATAGTATTATTTTTGCTGTTACTGTTCTCACTAGCTTATTTATTATTTAACCATGGTGAACTTTTTATGTTTTATCAAATAAAATCAAATAATGTTTTCCAACATGTAGACAATAAAAGATATGGATTGGCCTTAGAGTTTAGATAAATGGATTTTTTATGCTTGTCACATTGTAACCATGCTGGTGCAAAATTTTTTTGTTTATTTTGATTCTTTTTTCATTTGCAGTGCACAAGCCCACTCCATTGATGAAATACTCTGGGGGAGGTTTCTTGTGGGCCTTGGTATTGGAGTAAACACTGTAGTTGTTCCAATTTATATTTCTGAGGTACTTTGCAAACTTTGCTTCCTTGGTCATTGGATACACTTTTTACGGTTCTGCTTGTGTCCTGTAAGATCTGGAACTTGCATCCTTGTAATTTGTTCTTAATATAGTTGTGAGATTTTAACCTTGTTTTGCTCCTTTTGTTAGTTATATGTCCTGCTCTCTGTTTGACTGTCGCTTGTCATTACTGGTGGCTGACAGATAAAAAGACTAGATATAAAAATACATTCTTGAGAAATTAGTAGAAATCAATTAAATGATTCTTAAAATATTGTGAAGATAATGCTAGAAACTTGTTGTACTATGTCTTAGCTAAATCCATATGCCAACTGTCTAAGTGGCATCACAAAGGTGTAACTATTGCATCTCTACTAGTGATGTTTCAGATGGTTGTAAAGTTATTCATGGTAAGGTTGAGTGAACATCTGAACTGCAGGAACATGAGATAGTTTTACAGTTTCATTCAACAGCGTTGATGCTTGTTGTGTTTTAGTAACTTCTTGTGTTAGGTTTGGAGATAGGAAATTACAAAGTCAGTTGACTGCTTTTGTTTATAACTAACTTATGTCTTGTAGGTTGCCCCATCTTTTGTTTCTAACTCATTTATGTCTTGTAGGTTGCTCCAACTAAGTATAGAGGTTCACTGGGAACCGTTTCTCAAATTGGTACGTGCCTTGGGATTATTTTATCATTATTTCTGGGGATTCCTGCAGAAGATAATCCACATTGGTGAGGTTCTGTTTCTCATTGTTCCATGCCAGTGGCCAGAAAGGTTATTTAAAATGGACTTATCTTTATTTATTTCTTTAATATTTTTCATTTTTGATTAAAAAAAAGGGTGCTTGCTTTTTGATGTAATAGAATTTTTTTTCACTTGTTACTCTGTTAACTGCATGTATCAAACTTTTCGATTTTGGCATCCCATTTACTAGGGACCTAGTATAAATCTTCCTAAATGCCTCCTATTGGATTGACTCAAATCCCCACGACCTCGTGGGGCTAGATATTCATGTGTCGTTTCATGTTGCTTTATGCATTTATTTTATGTTAATGATTGGATTAGAAAACTTTAAGTTCAGTGGATTACATGCTGTTAAAGGTTACATCCTGTAGGAGCATTCTTTGTGTGTTTGTGTATGCAGAAATACATATACTATATATGTAATTATGTATGCTTTACTTATTTCCTAGATATCAACATGCATGTACACATGCATGCAAATATATATAACAAATATTTTTTTACTTTGCCTCGCTTTCTTTTCTAATCAATTATTCCTTCTTTTATGCACTAAATTTTATTGCCTTGTCTTATGCCTTTGCTGTGTTACAACTGCCTAACTAGATTGAAAAGTTTCATGTACGGTGGAGAAAAACCTAACATGCGATATTGCTCAGGTGGAGGACAATATTCTACATGGCATGTGTTCCTGGCTTTCTTCTTGCTTGTGGTATGCAATTTGCTGTAGACAGTCCTCGCTGGCTGTGTAAAGTATGCATTCTTCTTTCATCTTCAGAAATCTACAAGCTCTGTCCATTTCTTCTTGAAATGTTGGATTTTATTGTTACTGTAGGTAGGAAGATTGGATGATGCCAAAGTAGTTGTACGTAACATTTGGGGAGAATCTGAGGTCAACAAAGCAATTGAAGAATTTCAGTCAGTCTTTAAGAATGACGGTAGTGATATGGACAGCGGATGGTTGGAACTCCTTGAGGATCCACATTCAAGAGGTTGTATCAGGTGGTCTTTAATGTTTTCTTAATGGTGTTTAGTGTTGGAACAAATTGGAATTGAACAAACCTATCTATGGAGAACAAATTGGAATTGAACAAACATATAGTGATATCTATATGAACGGTGCATGCTTAGAAATCTTTCCTTATGATGCAGGGAGAAAAGTGGTAATTTGGAAAACAGAATTTATGGGTCAAACTCTATGTTTGCGTGATTGTAAAATTATCTTATTCCAGAAATTAGAGAAAATTTCTCCAGAAGATTTTTGTTTCTATTGGTTTGATCTCTTTTTACAAGAGAGTGCAGGATGTTTGTAGTGTCTACTAATGTTACTCCTATTATAACTAGAAAACTAATAGATAAATTTTAAAAAAGCTTAATTAGAAAAATAAAATAAATTCTAATCTAAATTGAACATTAAAACAGACTTAAACTAATTCTCCAAGTAAATTAAAAGGCACCTACGCTATTCCGATATCCAACAATAAATAAAATAAATAAATTACCAAAATAAGCAAACCCTATGTAGTGTTTAGTTGTTCCTTTTTATTCTTTTCTCTTTGACGTCAAAGCTTGTTTTTGGTCTTTGCTTCTGCATCATTCTTTTGAGCTGAGATTGAGAGAAACTCATCCTTGAGTTTAGCTTTTCTTTGTCACAATCAATCATATTTCCAACTGCAAACTTCTTCAATCCCTTCTGTTGATATGTATCTTCACTTTACCATCAAACTCAAGCAGCTTCATGGTTTTGATTTGGATGGCGTGTTCATCCTACTTCTCATTTTCCACTGTTCTGCTACACAACACACCAACTCCTAACTCTTTAGCTACTTTCTCAAACTGGTAAGCTTGAGAAAGTAATTGCTTTTGTTACTTCTTGTACTTCTAGCAGATTTTTCTTTCTTGAGGTATAAAAACTTGTTTTGTTATCCTTGGAAAAGGTGTAAGTACTTTGTCTGAGTGCTTTTGTCGTCCCAACGAGATATGATATTAGTGACATCTATAAAGATGGTCTCCTGAATAACCACTTTTCTCCCTGCATCACCCAAGCACTAAAAAGAACTGATTCAGAGTTTTAAGATATATAGACAATAATGATAATGCAGTTATGAGTTGGTTTTGCACTCTTTGATGATTTAAATGTACTGGTTTTAAAGTGTATTAACACAGTTTTCAATGACAATTTCTTCCTTTCACATGAGCGTGCTCCTTTTGGCTGCAGTTGCATTTATTGGAGGTACCCTTTTTGTACTTCAGCAATTTGCAGGCATAAATGGAGTTCTTTATTATTCATCGCTGACGTTTCAAAGTGTTGGAATTTCAAGGGGTGCTCTAGCTAGTTTATATGTTGGATTCACAAACTTCGCCGGTGTGTGATCAGATGTTGATGTTTACATTTATATGTTGAAGTATGCTTTTTACTTGGTACTGATTATTCTTATTAGCTACTGAATGTCTGCAGGTGCGCTTTGCGCATCTTATTTAATGGACAAGCAAGGAAGACAGACGCTTCTTATTGCAAGTTATTTGGGAATGGTGAGTGCTTTACTAAAAATATTTTATGATAGAAAAATCTCAATAAATATTTGCTCCCACCTGTAGAAAAGAAAAGGAGATCTTTAACAGTCAATAATTATTCACTTTAAGGAGTGGAGTTTCACTTTACCAACAACCTGTTATTCCTTCCTCCTTTATAGTTTGAATTATGTAAGCTTCTAGAGGGATTTTGCTAATGTTCATATATTGTGAAGTTTAACAGACATATACCTTCTTTTAATTGTTTTAACAGACATGGACCTTCTTTCAATTGGGTCTCACTAATAGTTCTACTGTGAACTCTATCTTTCTAGGCAGTGTGTTCTCACTAATAGTACTATTGCAAACTCTATCTTTCCAGGCAGTGTCCATGTTTCTGATTGTCTATTCTATCAGCTTTCCACTGGATGAAGACTTCAGCCACAACTTATCAATTCTAGGAACTATCATGTGAGTACTTTTATCTTGTAATCTTTGTTTTTCATCTTTTGCAAATTCTTGATATGATGCTTACCAGATGGCATCAGTATGGAGAGATTTGGGCTGCAAAAAGTTGGTCAACAAATCATACTGAGTTGCTCAAGGAGAGCGCTTTTCCAGGGCTTGTTTTTTCATTTTCATTTTTTTGTTTGGTCTAAGGGCATGCAGTCAGGTATGGATGAGATTGAACCCATACATTACTAAGCTCCAAAAGGATAACATGGTGCCAAATGAGTTATAAGGCTCTCTTTGGGACTTGGGGCTTGATTAGTTAGGACAAGTGCGTTTTCAACTTTGAGGTGAACTTATTTTCACTTGGTTATGCAGGATGAAATGAGAACTTCATTCTAGCAGTGTCCAGCTTCTGTCAGTTATATTGATTCATTTTGATATAGTATCATTTGATTGAGGTGAACTTATTTTCACTTGATATGCGGGATGAAATGAGGGCTCCATTCTACAGTGTCCAGCTTTATTTGTTATACGATTCATCTTGACATATAGCATCCATTGATGCCTCTGGATTAAATGCATTTTTACAGGTATATATTCACATTTGCTATTGGAGCTGGTCCAGCAACTGGTCTTATTATACCAGAACTGAGCAGCAATAGAACTCGTGGGAAGATCATGGGATTTAGTTTCTCCGTTCATTGGGTATGTATCTTATTTGTTTTTCATTTAGTCTATCATAGACAATTTTGGCAATATTGGAATATAAGTATCAAACAAACAGTTGAATTTCTTTTTTATGACATCATATTTTCATTTGTTTAATTTCTATCAATTACGGCAGAATTTAAAATATTATTTCCGTCGCTTAGAATTTCTTTGAATTTAAAATGTTATTTCAATTTTCCTTATAAATTATTTGGATTTAAATTTTTAGATTTTCATGTTTGATCTAAGTATAAAAATTAAGGATAGTTCCAAATGAATTTCATAAAAATGATTCATCATTTCAGACCTACCTTATTGTTAGTATGTGATTGCAAATTTATTGCTAATTATTATGGAAAATAAAAAAGAAAACATACAATGGCTGGATATATTGTCCAGATGTTTTTCAACATCTATACTACATAATCGTAAAAAAATTAATAGAATTATTATAGGAATTACAATACAATGAATATAAGATAAAAATATAAATGACATGACATTGTAATTCAAATTTTTTTCATGTTAAGTTTGAGTCATGGTTTTGTGATTCTCCCATAAGCATGAATATAAATACACTATTATAAAATTTAAGATATGATAATGTTGGTTTACTTGGGTATAAAATATATAAATTATTAATGAACTGTACATTGAAATAATTAAGAGAAAACATATTAAACGATAATAGGATAAATTTAAATCAAGAGCAATGGAGATGTTATTGATTTCAGCATGTAAACTTTTTGTTTTGTGGGGCTTGCAAATGCCCAATTGTTTTAGGTGTGCAATTTCTTGGTGGGACTGTTCTTCCTTGAATTGGCGGAGAAATTTGGAGTTGCCACAGTTTATGCTGGCTTTGGCAGTGTTTCCTTATTGTCAGCTATTTTTGCCTATTCCTTTATAGTGGAAACTAAGGGACGTTCTCTTGAGGAAATAGAAATGTCATTGAAGTCTAATCGTTCCAGTAGAGCCAAGTGAAGAACCTTGATTTATTGACTTGCGGAGGCCAATGAAGTTTTAGGCTCCCCGGCGTTTAGTATCTTCGACAGTTGCTTTGTCTCCAAGATTGTTGCTGGTTTCTGCTATTTGCCTCAAATGGTGGACTCTGCATGAGGTTCAGATGAATTTTTTTATTTGGTATAGTGTATAAAAAGTCAGGTGAAAATTTTACGTTGAGTTTTTTATGATTCATTTATTCATTCAAATGTGACGACAGGTTATGTAGTAAATCTCACCATTTTCTTGTTGAACGATAATATGCATAGACTACTAAGAACATTCTGACTGTAAATTGATTTTTAAAACAAAAATTAAAAAGAAAAGACCTCTTTAATCTTCGGCTGGAAGTGATGAATATGAAGTACACAGTCTCAGTTCACAAGTAACTAAGGCTCAGAGTAATATTAGGGTTCAGTTTTTCCAGCAAAGGTGTCCAAATTTTTCTATCAATCTTTTAATGTTGGTGTCATAATTTCTGTTGGGCAGATCCAAAAGAGGACTAGTTTTCGTGTCTAGAAAATTAGTTTAAAATATACTATAACCCATAAAGAGCGATTTTAGCCTTTTATTTCTTTATTATGGATTCATAGCAAGTTGTAATAACTTGTATTGCCTACAGTTTATCTATTAAATATATTTTTATAATAAAGTTTAGTTTAATTTATTTAGTATTTCTTTATCATATAAAATAAAATTATGTATAATATATAATATAATATTTTATAATTGAATGGTCAAAAAACTAAATATTAGATTACAGTCTTTGAAATTAAAAAGGTGAAAACAATAATAGCTTAAGAAATATATCTTCTGCAATAACATATAACTAAAAAGAATATTCTTGATAGCAAGTCAAAAGAACAACTCAACTTCATTTGATGCCAAATCCCACAAAAGATGCTTTTATCTCCTCCTTTACCCATCACTTGGCAGAGACGAAACAGGCTAATGTCACGAGTTGAACCTCGAGAAAGAGCGGAGAACCACGAGCTAAGAAACTTGCAATCCATCGACCGGGGAGGATTCAGTTGAGAAAGACACCATCTTGAGGAGAAAACGACTGGTGAGGAAGCAAGGGAAAGCGAGCCAGGCTTGAGGATGATTTAGAGAGTGGCATAGTTTAAGGGAGAAAGAAGTCCTGGATTGAATAGGATCTTGTAAGGACAAGATGAGAAGATAAAATATTAAAATACGAAAATACATACATTTTATTTTTAATTTATAAATTGATTTAAATAAATTTATATAATTTTTTTAATATCATAATAAATGTCGAATTTGTTACATGTTAATAAATTTAGCATATGATATATAAAAATTAATTAAAGTTAAAATTAAAACATATAGTAATTACAATTCCTAGTTAAAAATGCTATTTTAACCTATATTTAAAATATAATGGTTATCATTTTCTATGACAAATTTTTACAAATATCACCTTCATTGCCGTGATCAGAAAGTTGTAGCAACTTTGGATCCGCATGTTGTAACTTCCATTTCGTTGTCTACTCTGAATTTTCCCGGCGGCCGTCAATCAAGTAGAGTATTCTTAGCCGGCGGCCGTCAAGACTCGAGATCTGATATGATGGATACACCAATGGGCCATCGTTCTGGATGCTGTTGTCACGTGTCCGCGTGCGGTTGACCATTTATACGTCACTTCCAACGGAAACAAAACACCATGTTGGTTTTTCTTCCTCTCTTATGGATGTCTCCATGGCACTGCAACTGTTCTCGTAGATTTTGACTTTATAGTAACCTGCAAGGCTCGTGTATTTCTCTTCATTGTTCTGTTGATGTGCGTAAATGTCTTCGTCTAAAGAGACAGCGATCGAAGGGGATCAAGCGGTGGAACTGATCGTGCGTGACACATCAGCTCCGGTCGCTGATGTTGGTACAAGTGAATCAGCCTCCGATGAGATCATCCCTCTCTTGACCCAGAACGAGAGGCCAAAGATCAACATCTTCTCGATGTCCTACTCCCGGAGAAGATCCAGAGTACTGAAACCTAAAACTCTAATTCATTTTTCCTTTTGTCGACATTCTGTTCAATTTTGTTTGTGCTTTTTCTCTTTGAGTTCCTTTTGTTTGAGAAGAGTTCGCTGGCGATGATTATCGGTATTTAAAATGTATCTCGGAAAATCTATTTTTGATGTCGACTTATCTTCCTGTTCATTGTTGCGGAGAACACAATTAACTACATTACTGAAATATTGCTTAGATTACTTTGGAGATGATAAAGAGAGCAATTAACAAGGGCTTGAACTTTTTCAATTCAAACATGGACCAGGCGACTCTGCTTCTGTCTAATAAATCCGTTAAGCTACTCTGGTTCTATCTTATACGGATGTATTGCGGAGATATAATCAAGTTTGTCTCCTAATTTGTTGAACTCATAATAAAATTGCAAACTACAACTAGTAATTAGTTGTTGAGCACATATGTGGCCGAATGCAGTTAAACTGTGTTTGTCTTACATCATGGTCACAGACAAGTAATTGATGTCAGATAACTACGGCTTGTTGCAGAAGGGACTTCTGTTAGTGATTAATAAGTAATTGAGGTATGCTGTCAAGAGATAATTGGAATAGAAATATTTTTTATTTTTCTGGAATTTCTTGCTGTAATTATTAAATTCTTTGCAAGTATTATGAATTCTTAGTAAAAATCTTTCAACTGATTATATGAACCCCTAATAATCCAAATAATGAAAACCTAATCTGTTAATCAAATCCAAAGAAATGAGTTTACATATAAATATTTATGAAAAGTGTTTAAAAGTAGCTTAAGGCACCTAAGTGATCAGAAAAACAGTGTAAATAAAAGTGTTTCTTGTAAAAAATACACACGATTTATTTAGTAAAAGAAAATATGTTTATTAGGATAGTCGTTGAACATGTTATGAACATTTTGGCGCCGTATAATAAAAGTCAGGGTGCAGGCATCCTTATCTATGTTGAAAACGAGTAGGATGTTGAGGTGCTTATAAGCTAAACCCCCTCTTATAGATGCTTCTTCCGTTAATCACATCTTCTCATGGTTGCTTCGTGGGAAGCTATCTAACTTGTTCAAACATATTAAAGATGCACGAGACCTAAAATGTGAAGAAAATGTTAAAATAGGATGGGCTTTGATCTTAAGATGGCCCATAATTTTAACAGATAAAGGCTCTAGGTTTCTTGCTTCAACTATTTGGTTAAGTGGGTTATGGTTTTATTCAAAATTTGCATAAATTTGAGAAGAAACTGATTATGTCTTTGCAGGAGCAAATGATAAAAATAACAGAATCAGAGTTTTCTGTGGTAACCCAGTTTATTTTTTGGTTATGGAGTGGATCGAGGTACTCTGGTCTCCTATGTATGAGCTTATCATCGACCATCTACTTTGTGATGGAAGTTCTTTCTGATAGTTTATCTGGTTAGTAAGTTATTTACACTTTATCTACTAATTTATGACTGAACTCTAGTGGTGAGGCTTGTCTTGCATGTTACTTGAGAAAGATACTTTTTGCTAACTTTAGAATCATTGAAGAGTTTCATCTATCTGCTTTATTTGTGCATTGATATCAGAAGAAAGTCTAATTAAAGATAATAATATTTTGCCGTACAATTTTTATTGCATATATCCCAGGTTTATATGTGATTTTGATACATTTTCAGTCTTTGTATTATAATGGCAGTTCAGTCAATTCCTTTGTTTGAGACTGCATTTACAAGATGTACAATTAGCTTGTTACTGTCATATTTGTGGTTGAGAAGAAGTGGGCAACCAATTTTTGGACAAACACATGCCAGGAGTCTTTTGGTTTCAAGAGCCATTGTGGGTTATTTGTCATTGATGAGTTTTGTTTATAGGTAAGTTTTGCTTCACATGCTTTCTATTTTTCCTGTACTTACCGCTATGCTCTTATCAATTTACATTAAACACTTTGGGGCTAAATGTTACCTCTTTCCCA